TGGGTCAGCAGAACCTCAGTGGTACCAAACATCTCTGGAAATCAACCACTTTCTCTAAAAGGTTGAAGAGGAAACTGCCTTCGATCCTTTGATGGTTTTATACCATGAGAGGAAATCAGGATGTTTAGAGATCAGCTGAAAGTCCAGCAGGTCCAAACCTCCAGAACTGACCTTCAAACCGAACCCAGAGGATCTTCCACAGCCGCTGAGAGGAGAAGCTGGGGTCCAAACGGCCGACGGAAATAAATCTGACATCATCTGTTCTTCTAAGAGGAGACGGAGTGAGAGCTCTGTCTGCTGGCAGAGGATCTCTGATCCAACAATGAGGTTCTTCAGAGATGAAGGAGGGTTCCTCCGTCTGTGGAGGAGGAGGAGGAGGAGGAGGAAGAGGAGGAGGAGGAGGAGGAGGGAGGTTCTGGCTCCGCCCACAATCCCCACACTGATGTTTTCTGGTTTAAAAGACTGAAACTGGGTCAGAACCTGGAACCGATCGGTCTGAGGGAAAAGTCTAAAGATGAGAAACAATAAAGAGACTTTAAGATCGAGTCCATAAGTTCCTGTGGGTCCGAGTTCCCCTGACTGGGAAGGGTTACTGGACCAGAACAGTTCTGACCAAGAACCACCTGCACAGGTGTTTGTTCTTCCAGCTGTGGATCAGGGGGGTCCTCCCAGTACCACCAGTATCGGATTCAGAACCTTGTTCTGGACCCGACTCTCCAGAACTGTTCCAGGATCAGGGTCCCTGCTGGTACCAGTAAAACAACCGATTCTGGTTCCAAGTGAAACAATAATGTTGGTTTAAACGGCTGGTCAGTCACTGGGTTTCCATGGAAACCAGTCAGTCACACACACCACAAAGCAGCGGCCTGGACCAGAGCCGGATGTGGGTTAAAGAAACCCGCCCATCAGTCCGGTTCCGCTCGGCAGCATCTTAGTTCAGTTCACATCGGTCCGGTCCATGTGATCCGGTTCACCCCCCCTCCCCCCACCCCCACCAGTCCAACGGGTCGGGTCTTTCAGAGGCAGGAGGCGTGCGGCCGCAGCAGCGCCGGGTCTACCACGCTGTTCTCCATGGGCAGGTCTACGGCGAAGTCAGAGGGCGGAGCCTGCAGGCGCTGGCGGGGGGGGCAGCCCCCCCTCTGAGGGATGGGCAGCTCCGAGTGGTGAACAGGAAGAGGAGAGGAGAAGAAGTATGGATGGACCAGAGCCTGAGAGGACCAGAGAGGAGCAACAATCAGTCAGGATTATATTCATCACCTGGACCGGACCGGACTGAACCGGACCGAACCGGACTGAACCGGATCGGATCGAACCGGACCGGACCGGTTCTGGTCTTTGAAATGGACTAAACAAACAGGATCCCTGCAGTACCAGCAGAGACCACCAGCTCCACTTCCTGTTCCCCACCTGTCTGGCGGAGCAGCGCTGTTTGGACGGATAAACCAGGAACCTGTAGAGCAGGTGGATGGCCTGGGGGGGCGTGTCCGGGACGATCTCCTCCAATGGGATCGCTGGATTCTCCTTAAAGGTGATTTTGTTGTAATCCGGCAACTCGACTATTTCCTGGAGAGAAAGAGGAGAGAAGTCCTGATTCTTAGGCTGCTTCTCACTATGCGTACTTGAGCGTTCTCATGTGAAACGGACGGGGCCGCCTGTGGAGCTGGTTGCCTTTTGTATCTATGCTTCT